TGCCGTCCCCGATTTTACCAGGAGTCCAATGTATGGCTGCGGTATTGCATGAACAAAAGGTGTTCATTATCATTTTGGTTTTTGCCAGCAGAGAAAAAAGTTTCTCCCAAGACTCAAAATGCACAATCCTCGTCGTTCTCCCAGTCTCTCTATCTTTATGAAAACTTCCCTATCTCAGATTGAAAATAAGATCATGAGAAACGAAACCAAGCCATAGCAGCAGCACAACCATGGATCCAAGCAAACGAGTCAAGCAGCCTGGCGCTGGAGTTCCAAGCATGAAGCAGCAGCTGTCCTCCGTGCCGTGTCTCCCCTCCATGACCATGAGGTGAGCAGTGGACAGAAACTGGCAGCAGGAATGGCATGGATTGAAGGCCTGCTGCTCAGCGATAGGATAGCAGGACTTGATGATTCAATCTAGGATAAATTTCAGTGCAAACCAGTTTAAGAAAATTGGATAAGTTTTTTTTTCATTTCCAGTACTCAATTTTTGGAGAAAGAGAATAACAGGAAAGATGGTAGCAGAATCCGAAGGAATCTAAAAGAAAGAACAGAAGTTGCTGTCAGGGCCTCCCCTTAAGTTTTTTCTCTCAAAAAATGTGTTAGAACCGAACATCACAAGTTTTTGATGGTATTAAAGTGTACAAATAAATTTCCAGGTTTTTTCTAAATCTGTTTGTTTTGGTGTGACAGAAATTTCATATTCCCATTCATTAAATTCATGAAAAAATAGAAGAAAAATCTCCAAATTGACATCAAGAAAGAGCAATAGAAACCATAGCATATGATGATATTTTTTCTGTCAGGTTGGTCAAAAATTGTATGCTCCTGCCAGTATAATTCATTATCACAAGGTCCCATAATCTGAATTATGATAATTAATGTGCAATGTAATGTGTAGAACAGGGTGAAAGTGACACAGTCATAATAACTATATGCTGTGAAATTCAAACCTGTCTATATTTTACAGACCATAGTAGTGTTTGCAATGTTATACTACAAAAAAAGAAAGGCAAGAAAAAATTGTCCAAATAAAGGAAACTAAGAGTACCAATAGTATTGAGCACACTTGTTCATATCTATTGAAGTTTTGATAGTCGAACTAATGAAGCTGTTGCCGTCCAAGTAGAGATAGTTCCTATATGCAGCGAGTCCTGGAAATTCATATGGAAGAGTTGGGCACCGCCCCGGGTACGCTTCTTCCACTGGCTCGCCGACCAGGACTGGTGCTGGACTGCCGACCGCTTGGCACGCCGTGGGCTGCAGCACCATGACCCTTGCCTCCTGTGCTGCCAGGACCCCGAGACGATGGACCATCTGCTCCTTCGATGCCCCTTCTCCAGGCAAGTTTGGCATGACATCATCGCTTGGCTAAGCATGCCATGCACGCCACCACTCTATGGACCTTCCCTCCTGGACTGGTGGCACACTGCCAGGCAAGGGACGCCGCAGTCCATGCGCAAAGGCCTGGCCTCCATGGCCTTGCTATCCCCTAGGATGATCTGGAAACACCGCAACAGTTGCGTCTTTGAGGGCGCCCTGCCTTCGGCGCAAGACCTCGTTGTGAAGATCAAGGAAGAGGCGTCGCTCTGGGCCAAGGCGGGAGCTGCTGGCCTTCGCGACATCATCCCCCAGACTTGGGACGTGCACTGATTACCCATCTATCATCATCAGTTCTGTACCTCCTAGGAGGATTGTAACAAGATATCATCAAGATACACCAGGACGAATTCATTTGTGTAAGGGTTGAAGATGAAGTTCATCATGCGAGAGAACGTTGGAGGAGCATTGACAAGGCCGAAAGACATGACAGTATATTCATAAGAACTAAAGCTTGTTCTAAATGCTGTCTTGGGAATATCTTGTTCACGAATGCGAATCTGATGATAACCCATACGGAGATCAAGCTTGGAGAATACTTTAGCACTTTTAAGTTGCTCGAATAACTCATTGATGTCGGGAAGAGGATACTTGTTCTTGATTGTCTTCTTGTTCAATGGCCGGTAGTCGACGCAAAGTCGGTCCGTGCCATCCTTCTTCTGGACAAAAAGAACCCCACAACCCCACGAAGATGAACTCGGTCTGATCAAACCCAGACGCTCTTGTTCATTGAGCTGTTTCTTCAATTCCTTCAGCTCCTTTGGTCCAAGCTTGTATGGACGCTTGCAAATGGGTTCAGTACCAGGCTCAAGATCAATAACGAATTCAACTGGCCGGTGAGGAGACATTCCAGGAAGCTCTTTTGGAAAGACGTCTTGGTACTCACAAACGACTAGAATCTGAGAGATTGCGTCTAGCTCGCCCTTCTCATTGAGAGAAAATAATCGAATAGTTTCATCTCGAGCAGCATAGATAATCACATCATCAAAAGAGTGTGTCAATTGAATCTCCCTGGCAGCACAATCAAGTTGAGCCTTGTGCTTAGAAAGCCAGTCCATCCCGAGAATTAGATCAATATCAGAGTCGCCAAGAACCATTGGAGAAGACAGAAATTTATAGTTGCCCATCTTGATAGAAACATCCGGAGCCATCATTTTGGTATTCATGAACAAACCCGGAGAGGAAACCGCTATCGGCTTAGGCAGATCGACAATATGCAAATTGTGCATGGATGCAAAAGGTCTTGATATAAATGAAATAGATGCACCAGTATTAAATAAGACTTTTGCAGGAATATCATTAACTGGAAGATTACCCATGATCACTTCTGAAGAATCCTCTGATTGAGCTGCATTCATCATGTTCACCCTTGCAGACTTGAGATTATGCTTGACCACCGCACTGCTTGAAGACCTCATAGGAGGAGGAGGCGGAAGGCGCATTTGGTTGAAGCACTTGTTCGCATAGTGACCTTTCTGCTGAGACTTGTTGCAAGTAACTTTTGAGAGCGGACGATGATAAGGAGCACTTGACCTTGGAGCTTGAGTCTGAGACTTGTACTGATAGCCTGGGTTGGGTGGGTGGGAAGATCCATGACCACCTTTGTTCTTCTGCTGGTAGGGCTGACGAAATGGAGGAGGAAGCCAGAACTTCTGTTGCTTAGCTGCCACTTGTGGGGAAGAAGAAGACTGAACTGCATCCCTGATTCTCTTCTTAGAAGTCTCACACTTGAGCTGAGCACCTTTTTGCTTGAGGGTCATGTTATAGAATTGATCAAACTTAGTAGGCTCAAGAAGCACGAGAGCTAACTGCAGATCCTCTCTGATACCAACTTGTAACGCCCACGATGTGGCTATAGCTCCCACGTGTCGAGGCACGACTTAGAGGCATAACCGCATAGTGGTTTTGTCGCAAGAAGGGTCATCTTCACAACATCCCATGTAATGAACAAGAAAGGGATAAATAGAGTTGGCTTACAATCGCCACGTCACACAATATTCAAATAAGTCATACATCATCAGAGTACACTCATAGTCCGACTACGGACAAACAAATGAAAGAAGATAAACCCAACTGCTAGATCCCCGATCGTCCCAACTGGGCACCACTACTGATCATCAGGAAAAGACACGTAGTAACTGTTAGGAAAGCAACTTGTATTCCCATGAGGCCATAGGCCGATATATATACATGTACAGGTGTGGAACATATGCAGAAAACCCCTTATACAACGGGATAAATACAAAGGGGTACATGACTTATATTATAACTCTAACACCCCCCCTCAAACTCTTGGTGGATGAACAACACTGAGTTTGGAGAGATAAAAGCCATGTTGTGCTCTAGTCTGGGCCTTCGTCAGGAAATCCGCCAACTGTAACTCGGAAGGCACATACTGAAGAGCAATAATCTGATCCTGCACACCAGCGCGCACATAGAAAGCATCAACACCAATATGCTTGGTGAGCTCATGCTTCACAGGATCGCGCGCAATGCTGATAGCACCTGTACTGTCAGATAAGAGCAGAGTCGGTGTAGTGACAGAAACACCAAAATCCTGAAGTAACCACCGTAACCAAGTCACCTCTGCCGTCAAAAGAGCCATTGCTCGCAAC